AACGTCGGTTGAAACGAGGATGTTGGTGAGTTCACCGTTGGCCATGAGGAGCTTGGGGACAAGGTCGATGTTCCAGTCGTTGACGCGGCCGTACTTCTTCCATGGCTCGCCCTCTGTCTGGCCGTACTTCTTGAACAGCTAGCCATCGGGTCAGTGTGTGTATGTCAGTTGGAGATGTTGCGAGCTTACTGCTTCGATGTTCAGCGATGCCGCCTCACTGCACCCTGTCAGCTGTCGCCCCAAGTGTACCTGTCAAGATAACATACCCGCCGTAGTGGTCATTGCGGTCGATGTGGAGCACCTTCTTGCCCTTGACACTAAGGACACTGCAAGCATGTCAGCTTTTGCTCAAGAACCGTTCTCGAGTCCTTGTGTTACCCTGAAAGTACACATTCAGTGAGACCTGGGGATGGTTAGCTTCCGCATGTTACGTAGGTGGGGTAACTGCAACCCACCTGTTCCCAGGACCACGACGTCGTATTCGGGTGCAATCTCGTCCATGGCTGTCAGATGTCGGTTGCAGAATAAGAAAGTTGAGGATTGCGGTGGAGGTCGTCCGCTAAGAAGGCGCGTGGTTGAGCGGTCTTAGGGCGGTGTGATGGATGTGGGGTTGTAGCTCTTTGGGAAGCGCCTCGCCAATCTGGTCGACCTGTTTATGCTGGCATTACTTTCATAACTCACTACGTTTGACATGTACTGAATTAGTGCAATTCACTGATTTCATGACTGGCTATGATACACGCGATATGCTACAAAAGCTCGGCCACCTTGCTCGAAATAGCAGCCTTACCGTGCCTCATGCTCTCCCTGTTCGCCGTCCCAAACGCGACATGATGTACGATGTGTAAAGTTACAATTCTTCCAGACTACAGATCTGCAGAACATCGAACAAGTGTATATACCGCCTACACGCTACCCAGACTCGTATGCCACATGCACTCATGAACCTCATTATGCGTGAGTCGCCTTTTCTTTCGGCTGTACTTCGGATTCTGGGAGTATCTTGTCTTTCGAGGGCTCTTCAATAGGTGCCTCGGCCGCAGCATTGTACGGGGCGTCATCTACTTCTAGCGGATCCTGTGGATTGGGTCAGCATACAGTCAATCCCGTTAGGAAATCGAACGTACATATGTTGGTTGGGTGAACTGTGGGCCGTCCGTTCTTGAAAGGTCAATGTCCGGATCATGCTGTGCCAGTACGTATGCTTCCTGGTATGCCTGGTGTCGCTCGGCGAGTGTGTCTAAGATTGCCTTCATCGTCTCCTGCACAGTCTTGTCCCGCTCCTGGTTTTCGTAGTCGCCGTAACCCGCCTCTAAACGCTTGCGCTCGAGCTTCTCGGTCGCGAGACGGTTCCGCTCCTTGACGCATACCCACCACAGCTGGTGTAGCGAGTCCCAGTCCCGACTGCGCAACTCGCCCACAGTCCACGATCGTCCTGCGTCTCTGTCAGCCACCATAATCCCTCCATTTGTCCAATTGCAGCCTACCATGCCGCTGCTCGTCTACTGGTGTCTGCAAGAGCTTCTGGTCCTTGAAGAAATCCCAAAGCCCATGGTCTGGTGTGCCCGTCACTTCCTGCTCAATCTCGACCGGCTTCGGCAATTGCTGCTTTGAAAAATCTTTCTCCCTAACCGACAGTGTTTGTCTAGGACGCAGACCTGTAGCCCGGACTGCAGAGTTTCCTCTGTTCTTGTTGTTGTCTCTCTTCCATCGGGCGGGTGATGTGGAGAAGCGCGCGCACTGGACCGATGGGACGAGGAAAGAAAGGATCGTGTCCTGTTGCGCCAATGCTAGATTGGGCCGGAGGAGTCGTGAGGAGGGTATCGTGGCCATGTCGTCGGTGTGGGCTGTGCTTGCCGATGCTGGAGGGCGCAGCCGACCAACATTCAAAGTTGCAGGCACTGCAGGAAACTGCGACCGGGGTAGGCCGCTAGCGCATGCCATCAGCCCTAAACCATGGGAACCCACCGCCCTCCCTTCGTATAAAGAGAAGCCACCCCGCGGCTGTCCTCCCTCTCACCACCAAACCTCGCGCTCATCACCCCGTGTTGGGCGCCCTCAGATAGTCTCCAATTTCATTTGACGAATTCTTCGATTTCACCAGCGGGTATCAGGACCCGCCCTTTACCATCCCAGGATGCAGCAATCAACCGTCACCATGCAATACACTCCAAACCAACTCTTCCGCATTTTCTGGCAGCCACAGCAACTCCGTGTCATCGCCAAGCCTCCCTGGAAGTCAGTCAATTAATTGGGATTTTGCAACTTCTTATTCCACCGCCGACAGCAGCGGTGCTCTTCTCGATACCACTTCACTTCTTCCTACCACTACTGCTTCTTCTTCTTCAGCCGCTTTGTCATGCGGCCTACTTGCACTGGACCCTTCTTTCCAAACCACTCCGGACTGGGACCTCTTTCCTATTTCTGACTCACATTATCTTGGCGATGGCACGCAATTGCTTCCTGGCGAGCCGGCTCTACTTTCAACAGCGGGAGACAACATGAACACGTTCACTATGCCGTCTGGCATGGGCAAAATTAACAATATGAACACATCTGCACCCATGATGAGGGGTAAGGACCACACTCCCTGGCGATTCAGCAGTGTCTAACCTATCCAGATCACTCTCTGTCTGGTTCTTCCTCCACAAGCAACAAGGACCATGGTTCGTCTCCCACTGAGCAATCCTCTTCATCCAAATTGTCATCCACAAAGAACAGCCCTCTGGCTCCAGAACCATCTTCCCGGGTTGAGAAGCGGAAGGCCAACACGCTCGCTGCTCGTCGCTACCGCCAAAAGCGCGTCGACCAAATGAGTACTCTCGAATCCGAACTCAAGGACGTCAAAGCCGAACGGGATGATCTCAAAGTCCGCAACGCCAGGCTGGAAGGAGAGGTCGAGACGCTTCGTGCTCTTCTACGTTCTCAAAAGTAGTCCTGTTTGTATCGGTCTGTCAGCATGTGATGGACTCGCTTTTCTTTTCTTAACACTCAGGGAGGCCTCTTTTCAGACGATGTCGGACAATGAGTCGTTTCATGGCACACCTGTTCAGGGTGATGCTCAGATCGGCAAAATAGGGTATAATCTCAGAGGGCATCGGGACTTGGTGATAGATACTCACAGTTAATCTTGTTACGACGAATTGCATTGTCTGTTCTACAAAGCTACGAACTCTACTTTACATTCTCTACGTTTTGTACTGATCTTCCGCATGTCTCCAGGACAATCACTCTTGCTCACCTTGAGCAAGATTGTATACATACCTGACTTGTGCTCTCCTAACGCATCAGTCAACTCACAATGAGTCGATGTGAGCAACTCTGAGAGCCATTTCCCACAGCAGCAACAGCATCGTGTGCCAAAGAGTACTAGCTTGCTGAGTCTATCCGTGCATGTCCTCACAAGCACTCCTTGCGCCCTTTTCGCTAGATTTGAGCCTGAGGCTTCACAACTGCATTAGTGTAGCTGAAAGTGTGGTTCCGAGTGAAGTTGGTCTCCACTTAATGATCACTAGTCGTCCAATGAGAGAGCGCGACAGTGAGTCATTCTCGCTCACGATGTGTCTGATGTCTTGGCCTACCCTACATCCCCTTTCGTCTTTACCGACGACGTATTCACTTGGCCTTCAAGCTCAACAACGCGCGCATCGGTGTAAGCAACCTCTCTCGGGTGTGTTTTGCGTGCAGCGATATGCTGACGTCACTGCGCAGACCATCAAACGCGGTTGCTGCGACAGTGCTGGCGACTGCCAGGGTAATATCACAGCGATCAGCTACCAACATGCATCACAATGGTGTACCTGCATGCTAAACCTCATCCCTACACTAAGGTAGGCAAGTTACGTGGTTATCTGTATTCTGATATGCCTCTCCTGTCGTGCCAGGCGATGCGACAGCTCTCCTTGCCTCATCGTTACCTGTCATCCTCACTGGAGTTGTTGGTAAAGGTCACAGTCTCCATCATTAACAATCTCTTGTATTTCGATTCTGTTCAATCAGTCGCTTTTTTTTTGAGGAGTCTTTGCCTGATCGACAATCCCCTGGGGCGGTTCAACATGGACACTTCTACCGGGTCTCCCCTGATCAGCACATTGTTGTGAGTACCTCAATTCTTGGCCTGTGTGACAGAACACCGAATGCGACATCGTCGTTCAGCATTCGCCTCAGGTCGCCGGTGTTGAGCGACGCGTGCAACTCGCGTTTCAGCCTCAGGGTCCTCTGACACTCACGTCACAATGTCAGCCCGGCTAAAAGTGGGCCAGATGGATGTACTGATGCCGAGCACATCACCTCATGCACGCCTTCTGCTACTCGGATCTACCCACGCAGCAGCGCCTTCTATCCCCTTCACAGTTAGTACCTGTTTTGGACTTAGCGTGCATTAGTTTCGCCACCCAGTATGGAATCAGTATCCACATTCAGATCCTACCACATGCGCCGAGACCGTAAGGAAGCCCGTTTTTTGTTCCTTCATCCCATGACATTGTGGATTTGTCAAGGCTACGGGCCGATCATATGGCTGCCCGATGTTATACAACGGTTTCTAAACCTAGCATCTTCCGCTAGCTGTGAACCTTCTCGATCCATTAGACCAATCACGAACTGTGAGGTCGTACTATGGTTCACTTCGCGTCGAGCCATGCGGTCGCCTAACCTGCATGATCGCCACCATTGGGACAAAGATTGCTTGTCTACACGCGTCAGGAGCTTGACACGCGCTATGGAACACTCACTCCCGCTCGTGCAGAATCCGGGGAATCCTCAACTTTGTATCCGCCCTCATAACCGAACGCTCAGGCCCGACTCATTCTGTTCATGTTCATGTTTGTTCATACATTCGTTTTCTTCCGTTGTTGTCTGGGCGCATAGCTGCATATCTTGAACTGTTCAATCGGCCGTAGATACGACCGACCTTCATTCTTGTATCTTACGCGCAGTCATACAACATGTACTTTCGACCGGGATACGTGGTGGTGATTGTTGGGGCAATACTGACAACGATGTCAACAATCATCGTAGGGTTACGGTAAGACTGACTGTCGCTAAAGCGGCGTGAGTAAAGACTGATCAATTGAATAGATACTATTGCCGATACTTTCTCATGGGATCAGTCAGTGCAAGCGATCATCTCATGTTCGTCGCTCTTGTAAGTTGAAATATTGTATCATCTACTACAAAGCTTACAAGGTCCAGGTGGTTACATGGGGCAACTTCGTCGTAAACTTCTATCAAGACGAGACGAGCCGTCATTCCCGTCCAAGCTATCTGTTCAAACCAGTGAGTGAATCCAAACGCTGTCCGGGCGTCACTGTCTAACAAAAGCGTAGGAGGAGCATCCAGAGGTCGTGGAACATGTGCGCGGAAACCTTATCTCATGGTGGGTATACCGCTTGACCTACACCATTGGCCTAGGCTTCGTAAAACTCAGCATCCTCTTCTTCTACCGCGCCATCGCCGCCAACAAGACATTCCGTCGGCTCGTGTACGCTACGATCGCGTTTGTCTGCATGTACACATTTGCTGCGAGCATGGCGTCCACCTTCCAATGCGAAAACCCCTCAGACGCTTGGTCTACAGTCAACTACTTGGCACAGTTCGATCGCGATCCAAAAACCAAGCAAATACAGGTCAAATGCTTCGATCCTATCAAGCTCTGGGTGTTTTCCTCGGCCTCCAATCTGATAAGCGACATCATCATTCTCATGCTACCGCTACCGACGCTGCTCAGCCTTCGCATACCCATGGCCAAACGTCTGGCACTCATTGGCATATTTTCTGTTGGAGTCATGGCCATCACTGCATCGTCCGTACGAATGTGGGTTATGATGCTGTGGGCCGAGTCACCTTATAATTCGGCGCGTTTTGGAAACGACCTCCTTCTGTGGGGTCAAGTTGAGACAAACAGTGGAATCATCTCCTCATCTATACCATTCCTCCGTCTCTTATTCCGCAGCAAACAAAAGGAAGAGCGGAGCGCAACGCCGAGGAAGGTTTACAAAGTCCCTTCGCAGCCTCTCCAGATTGATGCCTTTAGCCAGCACAAAGCACTCGACATGGGCGAATGGCCGCTCCGGGACGAGAAGATGGCCACGGAGCAATCCAATTGCTTCATCACCATACACGCAGATACGATGCGTACTAGAGGCTCTGCTTGGGGTCCCTTCATCACGATACCGGAAAGCCTAAGCTCGAGCAGTAGAGGCGAGGCACAGCTGGAGCCCACACATAACCCGCATATGACAGTGTAAGGAAACTGGAAGAGAAATTTTGTACTTGTAACGATAATGATAATATGATTATACTGAGTTTGAACTTCACAAACAGCCATCGCAATCGTAATCCTATCTGTCAATAGTCGATTTCGTTGGAAGAGGGCGACGCGTGCTGTACTCTGGAACCGCACAGATCTCGTCCTTTGATCGCAAGAGCTATCAGCTGCAACAGAAGGTTTGCCACGACCGAACAGGGTATCCACGGGTGTCTAACGTGGGACGTCGCACAACGGCTGCAGCGTGACATGGGTCCAACGATGGCACCTTTCCATTTCCAGTTAACCTCGGGCGGACCCATCTATGGATGTCGATCTCATGCGGCTGCGCAGGTGTCTGGGAGAGCGATTGAGAGGTCACGTAGACGTTTATACTCGATCGCATCATCGTCGTGCTCCCAGCTACTAGGCGCCTGTTTATCCCAGCACACCGCCCAATCGCCGCTTCCCCACATCTCGGCTTAAGTCTTAAGCTGTTGGGTAATCACCAGCACCGTGGCTTCCTCACGCATCACCAAGCTCTTCCTCGCCGCTGTCGCTCTCTTCATTGCGACATCCGCCATCCTGGCTTCAATCCGACTCGGCGGACGCGTACCATCCATATTACAATACGTCAAGCCCTCTCCGCTCCGGAATCCTCTCTATACGCAACCGTTTAGGCCGCTCACCAACTCCACTATGGCTCCGTCGCAATACAAGACCCCGCCACAGCTGCCGCCCAAGTTCACAGCTACTAAGCAAAGCTTAGTTGACGATGCAAAGAGACTGGTATGTGGTCTTCCTGAGTTTTTGAACTTCTGCTTGCGATTGCTGCCACCGACCCCGCAGGAGGGGTGTTGCGACCGGATGCTGACACTTTCCAGATCGACAGGTCTCGCAGCGTCCAAGATGCTATCGTTCGCGATGTAAAGCCCGAGAACGCGAACTTCCAAAACACACTCCTCCAAATCGCCCGCGATGACAACAAGATGGCCATCGAATCGCATATCCTTGGCTTCTACAACGCTGTGTCAACAAGCAAGGAGCTGCGCGATGCATCCAGCGAGGTGGAACAGATGCTTGACGACTTTGGCATTGAGTCGTCCATGCGCGAGGACGTCTTCAATCTCATTGACGCTGTGCTGAAGAAGGGCGAGAAGCTGGATCCTGAGTCCCAGCGGCTGCTGGAGAAGGACCACAAGTCGTTCATTCGAAATGGTCTGAATCTTCCCGCGGGACCCAAGAGGGACAGGTTCAAGGAGATCAAGCAGCGTCTGAGTCAAATCGGCATCGCCTTCCAGAAGAACCTTAACGAAGAGAACGGTGGGCTGTGGTTCACACAAGAGGAATTGCACGGCGTGCCAGAAGACGTCACCTCAGGACTCAAGAAGGGAGAAGGCGAAAACGAGGGCAAGTTGTTCCTGACCTTCAAATACCCAGACCTCTTCCCAACCCTCAAGTACGCCACAAACCCGGAGACAAGGAGGAAGGTTTTTGTCGAGAATGAGAACAAGTGCAACGGCAACGTACCACTGTTCAGAGAGGCCATCTTACTCCGCGACGAAGCCGCCCGCCTTCTAGGCTACGACAACCATGCACAGTTCCGGATAGAAGACAAGATGGCGAAGACCACCAAGACCGTCGATGACTTCCTCGGTGACCTGCGCGAAAGGCTCGCACCAGGTGGCAAGAAGGAAATTGAGAAGCTGATGGAATTGAAGGAGCAAGACGTCAAAGAGAATGGAATCACAGGTCCGTTGGCCAAAGACTATTACCTTTGGGACAACAGGTACTACGATCGTCTGATGCTGGAGAAGGATTTCCAGCTCGACCACCAAGTTATTGCCGAATACTTCCCCCTACAGACAACCATCCAAGGCATGCTGAAAATCTTCGAGGAGCTCTTTGGTCTGGTGTTCGTCGAGATTGTGGGCGAGGAAGACAGGGCTGCCCTTGCTGACGGTGGCAAGGGATCCGACATTGTCTGGCACGAGGAAGTGCAAGTCTTTAGCGTTTGGGACGACAAGGGCGAGGGTGAAGGCTTCGTTGGCTATCTCTACCTGGATCTCTTCCCGTAAGTACCCTATGCACGGACCAACATCACGTGGCTTCATCCCGAAATATGTCCGAGCTTCTGCTAACTCAACACCAGACGTGACGGCAAGGTATGAAGACAACCACAACACTTCTAGAACACTTACTAACGTTGAAATCACGTGAAAAGTATGGGCATGCTGCCAAGTAAGTTGTGCCTATACGAAATGCATGTGAGACATACACTGACTTCGTATTTTCCAATCTGCAGCTTCAATCTGCAGCCTGGCTATATAGATGAGAACGGCAAGCGACGTTATCCCGCGACGGCTCTAGTCTGCAACTTTTCCAAGCCAACGAAGAAGAAGCCCTCACTACTCAAGCACGATGAAGTAGTCACTCTCTTCCACGAGCTTGGACACGGTATCCACGACCTGGTATCACGAACGACCTACTCTCGGTTCCATGGCACCAACACCGTTCGCGACTTCGTTGAGGCGCCATCTCAGATGCTGGAGAACTGGTGCTGGACACCTTCGCAACTACGCTCTCTATCTCACCACTACTCTTACATCTCGTCCGACTATGAGAAGGCATACTTAGAGTCATCAGGCGGCGAGAAGAAGCCGTCAGAGCAGATTCCTCAATCGTTGATCGCCAAGTTGATCTCTACGAAGCACGTCAATGACGCGCTGTTCAACTTGAGGCAGTTGCATTTTGGAACCTTCGATATGGCTGTTCACGAGCCGGCCAGCCACGAGGAGCTCGAAAAAATGGACATCACTGAGAAGTACAACTCTTTGAGGCACGAAATCAGTCAGCTCAAGGGCCCTGAGTCGCTGGAGGGAGACAAGAAGGGTGACTGGCACTGGGGTAATGGACAGGCTACGTTCGGTCATTTGATCGGTGGTTATGACGCTGGGTAAGACATGTTCAATCGCTCTGCCAAACATCACGTGCTAACCATGACAGCTACTATGGCTATCTCTCCTCTCAAGTCTACTCCACAGACATGTTCTACACTGTCTTCAAGGACGATCCTATGAACCCCAAAGAAGGCCGCCGCTACCGACACACCGTTCTTGAGCGTGGCGGTTCCAAGGAGGAGATGGAAATCCTTGAGGAATTCCTTGGCCGCAAGCCCCAGACAGAAGCCTTTTACAAGGAACTGGGAATCTCACAGTAGGCCCGCAGTTGATAACTGGGCACCAAAACGTGTATCTGAGAGGCTACCTCTTAAAGTCTCCTAGCACAGACGCGCACTCCAGCGCGCTACACGCACATAGTCTGCTAGCTTGTAGTCAACCCATTCTACAACGTTGCTCACAAAATTCTTCCCCATGACTTCACTTACTTGATGTTGCACTGGGGCGCTTTCTTCACAAAATACCTTTGTGCGTTAGACGATTCCCGCACGTAAGAGTTAGTGCCTAGTTACCCCGTGTACGCAGGGAGTGACAATCGCCCTTCGGCCGTAAATTCTATGGCTTTTCCCTTTGATCTTATTGAAAACATGATAGTCCCCCTTCTCGACTGTCGTCGCGCGTTAGACTCCCATATATCACAATCCAACGCTGGCGAAGGCGGCTTTGCGGCGGGATGCTGACATATATGAAGATGCGTTAATACAGACAGTCCACACTTGTTTGCGTTAGATCAAGGGTTTGTTGGATTATATCGTCAGTATCGATATCGCATGTAGGCCAGAGAAAATTCACAAAAGGATTATCTCTCCAAACTTGGTGCTGCCACTTTCGAGCCTGCGGCATTCCATCTGCTGCTATATTCCTCCGCTACACCCAGTTTTACATTCAAATGTCTACCCACCTCACTATTCCTGCACTCCACTACTCCTTCACCTCATTGTTCTCAGCGGTCCAGTCCATATCTAGTACGCTCAGACGCGAGGTCTGCTTTGCCTGCTCCCTGTTGAACGAGTGGGCGTGGCGGGCTCGGCCCTTGCTCAGGATACTCTTCTTGCGACAGAGTTTGAACTTTTTCGGCGCTGTAGTCGTCTAAGTGGTAGTTGGAGCTTCGAGAGGGTCGGCGACAATCGTAGGCACTGTAGTCGTCGGGGTAGTGTCGGGGGAGGGGACGAAGCGGCGCATGGATCGGTCTGGGAGGATATGAGCGGCGGCAATCTCGTTGGTGTTCTCTGCCCTGGCGACTGCCTCTACGCCTTGGAAGCCGTTGTCTTCGTTCTCGTTCTCCGCCTTGGCCAGTTCGTCTGAGTCCCCGGGGTCAGCTTCTTCGTCTTCTGCATCGGCGAGCTTGTCGTAATCGTCAGAGGCAAGCCCCCAACACGCTCCGCTATGGAATGCGGCCCAAGCTGCCATCTCTTCCTCTCCTTCCCTGTCGATCATCTCCTGTTCCGCATCACTAAGCGTGAGTGCTGCTCGGAACTGTTCTGTTGTCATTCCCACTAGTTCCTTCTTTTTGAACTCATCTAGCTCGTCGAGCTCCTCGCGCAGTTCATTGAGCGCTTCAAGGGAATCCTTGTCGCCCTTGCTGGTTGCCCTCACCAAGGCCTCCTGGTAGACTTGCTCAGCTGCTGCCTTCCAGTCATCCGCTTCCACCCAGGTATTGGCGGCGCAGGCGATGAGGAGGCAGTTTTTGATGATGTAATAACGCGGCATAGTCTCGTCGCTTCCATTGTGTTAGTGGATTTATACAGCAGATGACAAGATAGCTCTTACCTGAGGTTCTTCTTGGCTTCAGCGATACACTTCTCGCATTCATCCTTATCGAGGAGGTCCCAGGCAGCATTGAACTGCCTTGCATAAGCGTTCGCCATCGAGAATCTAGAACGAAGCCAACGTAGGGTAGAGAAGAATGATGGAGTCTCTCGGTAGCCGCTGAAGTTGTCGATGTACTTACCACTCACTTACCACTCACTCATCACTCAATCACCGCTCACTCACCGCTCAACAACGTCAGGCTATTGCAGGAAGGTAAGTCCTCGCTGGAATTGTGCGACATCGCTATCTTGAATTGAGAAAGTAACGGGATGTTAGCAGACGAAGCGTTTGAGCTACGTGGGGATTCTTCGCCTGACCTATCTGACGTAGCTAGCGCACTTTTGCCTTTAGGTCCGTACCAGCATACGATACACCAACTTTTAAGAAGTTTCTGACTGCGCTACCCACGCTATCAGAGACCAAGGAAGTGGAACCAAAAGTCTGCAAACATGGGAGAACGTGAGTTAGTCCACTCATTCAGCTCCCCAAGATGCCGGGCCGGCGTTCCCTCTACAAAGTGGAGCTAGTCGATCTAGAGATCAATTGAAACCTGGCAGACGGAGAAAGAGAACGTCCTGATAGACTCACAAGCAAAGAATGACGTCTAGCGATTATGAAGCACTGATGAAGCACTGGACGATCATCCCGACTGGGCGGGTATGGGTATGGAACAGTACGCTTCCAGTCGCCGAGCAAAAGGAGCTGCGACTATTTCCCGAAGTTCAACCCACAAAAGCAAGAGATATGCGGATATGGGAGAGCGAGACGATCAGGTTCGAGGCAGTACTAGGAAGAAATTCAGGGAAAGAACCCGCCGACAGCGAGAGGTATTGGACCTGGGGTGGCCCATATACCTCACCAAGTCGTATACATGCCGTGTTGCTAGATTTCTGTGGATGTGGAAAGAAAGACTCAAGCGTCTACAACGACGGAGACTTCGTCGGAGTTGATGGTTAGTTTTCAGAGGATATACACGTTGAACCCTAGGAGATGGTCAGAAGAGATGCTGATCCTATCAACGAGTAGGACAACGGATAGGCGCGGTTATTTAGGATCATGGTGAATAATGCTAATTCATGCGTCGATACAGACAGTCCACACTCGTTTGCATTGGATTGAGGGTTTGTTGGGTTGCATCGTCAGTGTCGACATCGCTTGTAGACCAACGCATTGTTAGCGAAGGCAGTATCACCCGACAATAAGAACTCCAGTAGTCGTCCGACTGAGCCACTGCCCCACTGACACTCTAAGCATACTCACATCAGAAGTCACCATAACATCCCAACAAGCCCCTTTGCCATCAGAGTATCATCCTTAACTTCCTTGCGCGACAACAGTATGGCTAAAGTCCTACGACCCTCACTAAGCTCCATTTCCTCATCCTTCACCTCTTGCTGCAATCTTCAGAAACCCTGCGCTGTTCGTGACTGCAGTATTAAAGTGCGATGGAGGCCAGACGTAGAAAGGAGAGGTGGCTATATATGCAAGCGGCATATGAATGAGCTTAGAAACGTTGCGACAGTGGTTGTTGAAGATTGGTATTTTACGCAGATGCTTGGAGAGGGCGGTCTAGGTGTATTGGATGGTTCTGAATGGTGGTAGAAGAACAAGAGATAGTGACAATGCCTTACAGTGGTTCACGTGTCAAAGCCTATTAACTATGACTTTAGCAATACGAGTTCTTCGGAATGTCTCGATAACAGGGGGTTGGTGACGCGCTCCTAGTGCATTCACGTTGATCGCTATGGCATGACCTACTTAATTGCTGGACCATCACGTTTTCAATAAGGCCAAAGGGAAAAGCTATAGAGTTTAGGGCTGAAGTGCGATTGCCACTCGCTGCGTACATGGGGTAAGTGCAGTGGATGACCTTCGCGCTAATGTTATCGCGGAAACCGCGGAAACCGTCCGCTTGCAACGTACGCAATACTTCCAGCTAAGATAAGACGCGTTAAGTCATTACTCGCCATATTCTACAACAACAACTGAATAGTCTGATAACAGATAGTTGTCGCGTCTAATTTGCATAACATGCAGACTCAGCATACTTGCATTCCTACAGGCCGAACCACACGTAAAGATCGAGCGTCACTGGCCCCGAGCTGCGGCTCATCGGTTCCACTACAACTTCTTTCCAAGCATGCGCAGTGAGCGCTGCGGGCTATGACGAAGATAAATATGGCATATACACAAACCCGTTTCTACCAGAACAAAGACGGCAGAGTTCCGCTACAATTGCAGAACAACTAGTCTGTGCCGCTCCCCGCAAAACCGGTCTCTCCCGCTGTCATAAACTGGTTGACGATTGGACGAAGTGAGATGCATGACTTCCTGCCTCGGGATGATAGGCAAAGCGTCGGAAATCGCCCTGCATCAACGCCAGACATCTAGCATGGAGCTTCTTCACTAATCAGGGCAAGTGGAGCAAAGATAAGCACATCCTGATAGGCCTGTCAATTCTCTCCGATTTTATCATAGTCGCTTTTCCAGCCCAGGTTGTTCGGACTGCTTCCGCACATGGTTGATAGTAGTAATAAAGGATATGCATCGGTGGCACTCTACTTCTCCAACCAGGCGCGTCGCGGGTTACTCTGGAAAAGGGAAGAAACATGAGTGCGCAGAAAGACGATGATAGTAAAGAGAATGGAATGTCAGCTCTGGCCTTGCAGCGGACTGTGTCCGGGAAGCATGAGCAAACACAAGCTCCGCATCAACATCTAGATGTAAGTCACTAGAACATGGTCAATCAAGCTTTACTTACGTAGTAACAGCAAAACTTTAACGTTTTGTCTCTCATTTCGACTGCCACTTCTCTAATTGCTACATGGGAAGCACTCGGATCTACCATGGCCACCGGCCTCATATCTGGAGGCCCGGTGTCACTGGTATTTGGGTATATACGTTCGTCTCATACACCCCCTGAGATAGCCTCCTTTCTAATATAAGATGCGACAGTCGCAGTCTTAGGAACTTTGGCGACGGCGTTGAGCTTGTCTGAACTTGCATCTATGTAAGTCGAGAACGCATTCGTTGGCAATAACATATCCTAACCTGCCTTTTCCTGACCAGGTACCCTTCAGCTGGAGGTCAGTACTACTTTGTGGTTCAGCTTGCTCCCAAGAAATTTCGAACAGCATGGGGATACGCCGCTGGCTGGATCTCCGTCTTTGCCTGGCAAACCTTCACTGCAAGTGCTCCGTTTCTTGGTGCAACAATGCTTCAGGGTATCATCGTACTCAACTACCCGGATTATTCGTATCAGAGATGGCATGGGACGATGCTGTACTGGGCCTTTCTTGGACTTGCAACACTTGTTAATGTCTTCGCCATCAAGAGCTTGCCTTGGGTGTTGCATGCAACATTCTTGCTCCATGTTGTACTCTGGCTTATTTTAGTCGTCGTTATCTGCGTTATCTCGCCCACCAAACATACCGCCGAATTTGTTTTCACCACTTACGTCAACGAGTCGGGCTGGAGCAGCGACGGTGTAGCCTTCAGCATAGGCCTACTGAGTAGCACGTATGTGCTTGCTGGTAAGTCCGCGCATACCCTACTATTGCTCGCACAGACTAACAGTATTACCAGGATACGATAGCGCGACCCATCTCACCGAAGAGATCAAAGACCCGGAGCGTAACGTCCCACGAGCTATGCTAGCATCAATCATCATCAACGGCGCGATAGGATTTGGATGGCTACTTGTCATCTTATTCTGTATGGGCGATATCACCGAAGCGATGGAGACAACGACCGGATACCCAATCATCGAGATATTCTTCCAGATAAGCCGTAGCAATGCAGCGGCTTCTGCCATGACCTGTGCCCTCATCGTCATGGCAGCTTTGGCAACGGTACCTCTTGTTCTGACCGCATCTCGAATGCTGTGGTCTTTTGCCCAGGACGCCGGACTGCCTTACTCGAAGACACTTAGCAGGGTTAGCGAGAGACACCACGTTCCCTTATCAGCGATAGCAGTGACCAGTGTGTTTCTTATCTTGATCGGTCTGCTAAACATCGGTTCCACTACCGCCTTCAACGCCATCGTCTCTTTGGGTACCGTCGCCCTATACATCTCATACCTGATGCCCATAGTGCTCATATTTTATCGACGGATAGCTCGCCCAAGCTCACTTTTGTATGGTCCTTTCCGGCTTGGGAAGCTTGGTATTGCCATCAATCTTGTTTCTATTGTTTATACTGTTTATGTATCCATATTCCTTCTCTTCCCACCATACCAACCCGTTACGGCTCAGAATATGAACTACGCCCCGGTCGTGCTGGGAGGCGTTCTCATACTGAGCGCTGTGTGGTGGTTCATAAAAGGAAAGAATGAGTTCGTCGGGCCGGTCATGGATACAATAGAAGGTCGACCTGCGCTGAGTGGTGCTCAAAGAGACGTATAGCCGAGACTGGCGATTGCTTGTCTGTGTGAACATGGTCATTAGCGTCGTCACGTTGAGGTGACGAGGTTGTTCGTAGAATAGCTTTCACCCTGGACAGAATAGCGATTCTCCAAAGAAATTCAATGGTATTCCAGGTAGCATCATCTATTGCAGATGCTGATACTAATGAATGTGATACATCTATGAAAAATAATTTATGTCCAAAGAAAGAAAATATACACACAACGCACGATTATACACGGCACAGTTTGCCGTTCTCGTTTGGTAGGCCATCAACACTTTCCACTCGCCACCTCTCACTACCCACACTCGTAGTCGCAAAGAACACATCTTGTGGATCAAGCTTCTTCTTCAACTCTAACAACCTAGGGTAGTTGTCACCGAAGAACGCGTTACCAAAGTCAGGCTCAAGACGATCAGCCTCAGCAAGGTAGGATCCGGCCCCAGGGCTGATGTCTCTCCAAGACTGCATATCGCCCGCTTGGAAATCTTTACGGATCTTCAAGATCTCCTCAGCGGTGCTGTTGATGGGCCAGCGCACAGATTGCATGCTGAACGAGACCAAGGGGCGCCAATGGGTGTTTACGGCGTTGTCGGTGTTGTATGGGTCCTTAGCCTGCATGTTGAAGTGGACTTGAACGCGGTTTTTCTCGCTCGATGCGCGGATGCGTTCGTAAACCCCTTGACGCTTCTCAGCCGTCTCGAAGTTTGCGCGAGGGAACAAACGCGATGCGGTCGCTACGTTGGGCTTTTGAACAGCTTCGAGAGGGAAAGAGTTGCGCCAAGCATCGTAGTAGTTGTCGTAATGAGTGATATTTGGGTCAAACTTGACGCCCAAATCATTAAGTTGATCGAACCAGGGCTGCAGGAGCGCAGTTGCTTCCTCTACGTTCTTTCCAGGCGCGAAGAAGGGCGAGAATGCAAATGAAAAGGTACCGTTGGATGGAATCAGTGTCCAGTATGTGTATGTTCCAGCGTCTGCGTTGTCGATCCATAGGTCGACGTAGGCGCGGATGGCAGCCCAGAATGTCTCGTTTCCGGTTTGGGCAGAAGTGAAGCCAAAGCGGGAGACTGTGACTTCGAGATCAGGATGGGCCTTGACAGTCACAGAGGTGACGACACCGAAGGTACTGCCACCACCGCCACGGAGAGCCCAGAAGAGGTCAGTGTTCGAGGTGCTGTTTGCGACAACAAACTCGCCGTCGGCTGTAACGACCTCCATGGAGAGGACACTATCAGCACCAGTACCGTATAAACCAGTCAATGGGGAGTGGCCGCCTCCTTGGATGTATCCTCCCATGACTCCGACTGTCTCTCCTTCGCCACCAACGACGATTCTGCCCTTCTCAGCGGCAGCCTTGTAGATCTCGAAGGCTTGCACACCGACACCGCTCTTGAACGCAGGGCCGGTCCAGTTGAGCTTCTCATCGACGTACTCTTCGATATACTCAATATCCTTCATGTTGTGTGTCCAGATACTAAGAGCATCCTTACCACCGCTCTTGCCTAGAAAGTCGTGGCCAGTGTTCTTGATAACGAGTCTGACACCAGTGTTGCGTGCGAAGTTTACCGCAGCCTGTACGTGCTTTGGCTCAGTGGCGTTAACAACGTACATAGGGAAGCCTCCACGGGTGCAGCCATGGGAGTCGAAGAGTACTGGCGGTGTGCACGTCATGCCTTGCGCGACCGGAGACATGATTTCGATGGGATCGATCATATGGATGTACGACTTCTGCCACGCTGCCACGGTGTATTCGGAGCATTTGGCAGCACTGTAGTCATGGCCAGGGTAACACACTGCCGCAAGAGGAGTGGGTGCATTGATAACACGGTCACCTGTGACTTTGTTGAGTTGTGACCAAGCTTCGTCGGACGGCCATTGAGGATCATCAGGGTAGACCTTGCATCTCGAAGTGTTTGTGGGCGTTGTAACATTAGGTGAGCCAGGGAGAAAGAGCGATCTGACTGCGGAAGGAACACCTTGGAGGTCCACATCTACGTTAAGGGTGTTGGTTTCAGCCTTGGCTGATAGGACAGGCGATGCTGTGGTTGAGGCAGCAGTCAGAACTGCGAGCCACAAAGCGACAGAGGCCATCTTTACGAGTTCGTCTGTAAACCAACGACTCAGAGTACAACCGAGTTTACCGGTCTTTGGAAAAAGATCGTCTCCCGTTGAACGGCTGCAGATCTGTATGTCGGTCAGAAAGTTTCTTTGTGCGTCATGAACGACCGTTTCTTACTGTACCTTTCGCCTGGGGCTTGCGGCTGCTGGCGTGTTACGGACCGTTGCGCACTGAGACGAGAAACAAAAGGATAGTCATATTGGTCATCTCAGTGACTGACTCGATATAGGAGGCAACGCCCAATATACCGTGCTTGGCAGGATGTGGGCTAATGCTCTTTGCCTTGAGTGTGACTGCTGATCTTCTCTAGAAACTGTGTTGACAGCTGAGATAGCCAGGGTCGATGACAAGGTATTGACTTGGTTACGAATCTGCGACCTATCCGCACTCCATGAGGGTTCATGTATGCAGCTGTTGCGTAACGCGCATTTTCTCACCTGCATATTCTCCTATATTGGACCTATCATAATGAACGATCAACAATTTCTAATGCAAACTTTGTACGCGTAAGGCTGTGAAGAGAGTATCGAATGCGCCCACGTGCGCTCGAATATGTCGTTGGGACTAGTCTCCGGCACATCGTTACTCGAGTCGTGAGGCTTGTCGTCCAGGGTCTGCTTGTTGGTGCCGTTCAAGCTGCCGGTAGTGCGAAGTTTGAGAGTCATGGTCGCATCCAAAACGGGAAGGAGCCGAAAATACCTTACTAACGCGCGAACCTGCAGCTCAGAATTCTCCTTTGAGCCGCGTTCCTGACCACGGCATCCGAACGCATTCACCACTATGCCAGCTCACGTTGCAATTGAGTTTGTTTTCTTGGGGGAAACACGTGTGCTGACCCGCCCTCCACGGCTCGGGCAATAAATTCCCAGCGCGGGATCGACCTCCGTCAGCCACCCGACAAGCCTCCAACATCATGTTCGGAGGATCGGCATATTTACTTCCCCTAATCGCAAGCGCTTTCAGAATATCGACTCGCCGCATCGCAGACATAATGCCTAGCGGAATAATTGTCCATGGCGTTGTCCAGGCTCCTCGCCAACCAACAGGGTGAACAGGCATCCAACCCGCGATTGAGGCCCGTGTTCAGGGCTGACCTGGACATGTCAGCCCGAATTCGGACCGTGAGGAACCTCTTTCGACTTTATGAGACAGCCTAGTCCTTGTTCTGGTCAAGCGAGAGGGGAAGTTACGAGCGGAGGATAACCATGTTGCCGCGATTATGGCCTGCATGATGAACAGCCTCGCTTTAGAACGACGTCTCCCGCGCCTGGCAGGTTTTCATCCTTGAGACATCAAGAGTCTAGAGCAGCGGCTGGCCCGATGCAACTTTTCACCTCGCCGTGCATCTGTCAGTCGTTAATGACAGCATCCTTCTTGGCCACCAAAGCATCTGATATTAAGGGATTGTACGTGCGACTACCCGCGTGGAGCGCTGGAGGACGCGGCATATACTAGTCACATAGCAAAAAACTTGAGCGTGTCCAGACGCGTTGCGGATACATTCGACTTTTTCCTGAGTGGGCCAATACTGCCTACATTACCCGTCATCCCTTCAGATCCTCACTGTTTGCGTCACTACTCCACGTTCGCTTCTCGGTGCGATCTACCGTCGTGGACCCACGATCTTCATCAACCCTCTGGTTCTCCCGGTTCACGATCGACTGAACAGGCGGACACTGGACATTACCCCGTGGGCTTCAACGCCTGTTGCCCATTTACGGACCGAGCACTCCAAGATTGCACGACTACGGCGACAAAACTCGGCAGTACCATGGTCGAAAGCCGACAATGCGAGGTTCTGGCCATTGTGTGTACTTTCACAGTCGTCGCTTCTTTTACAGTCTTCCTTAGAGTATGGTCGCGCTATCTCGGACGCAACTTTTGCTGGGACGACTGGTTGATTCTGGCTGCTTTTGTGCTCCTCATAGCGGATACCGTGGGAACATGGATGTACATCATATTGAGTGGCACTGGCTACCATATCTATGATCTGCCTAAGAAGTCGATTGAAGAGCAGCTTGTGGCGTTGAGATGGAACTTCACTGTTCAAATGCTGTACCATCCACGTACGTATCCCTTGGTCATTCAAGAGACTTCGCTAACAAGTTTAATCCCCTTCCAGTCATGGGATTGATTCGGGCTTCTATCATCATGTTTCTTTTCCGCATGAAGGACGGTCGTCGTCGCATAAGATACCCATTACACGTTACTTTCTGGCTCAACATCCTCTACTCCATCGGATCAACGATAGTCAACGTCGTACAGTGCACCCCCAGAGCCTATGCTTGGTCCAGGCCCGCCATGGATAGCATTGATGCTAACGGGAATGTCGTACCAGGCGGTACATGTATCGACTCGCGGACATTCGTATTGGTATCTTGTGCTCTATCGATTTTCATGGATCTCATTATCATTCCCATACCTTCCGTCATGGTGTGGGGTCTTCAGATGCATCGACGCACAAAGATCCTGGTAGTGATTGTGATGAGCCTGGGATGGATTGCGACGGGAGTGTCGGTAGGTAGGTTTATCGTATATTACTACCGATTTGCCCCTACCAACAAAGACCGTACCTGGGATATCGGTATTGGAATCAGCATCGCCGAACCTGCCGTACACATTATGACAGCATGCGCACCGGCGACTAAGTGCCTCTTCCGATACCTATTCCCACAGTATGGCACGAATCAGAACACGTCGTACTACCAGAACCGTACCGCGGATACAAACCGACACAATACCAAGGTATTCGGGAATTTCCACTTCGGGTTGTCCAACAACATAGACGATGAGATCACCATGGAGGGAATGGGAGGTGCACCGAGGACTGCTCCGCTTCCGCCAGTGAAGGATGACTCTGAATATGGGCTGAAAGCTATGGGAAGCTTTGAGTCAAAAGAGTATGTTGCAAGAGGAATAGGCAGGAAGAAGAGTTGTTCGAAGACGGCATGCACGGAAGCAAGCGAGCCAGTGGAGATCGAACCGAAGCATTGCCTGGGGCAAGCTCGGTGATTTTGTTTAGGGTCCTGCGTTGATGAGCGATGATAGCGTTTGATACACCGTGAATACCTTCACACCTCTTGCAGCACATAGTAGTAATCGATGACGTTTACGACCAGTGGAAACTTGAGCTTCTGAACTGCATTATCCCAATAGCAAGTGGTAGAGGTCGAAAGTGACGATTGTACGCGTGATCGCGCTGCCACGTGAAAGCCTAGCGCGTTATGGTGGGGCGCTACCGAGACCCTTGCCCAGGTGAGACGGAATAACAAACATTGGCAGCAGCGTAATTCAGCACGACAGCACATGCAGCCACCATGAGGATTATAGAACTTGTAATCGATGTGAGCACTGCCCCAGACTGTATTTGGCGCCTTCTAACATGAATCCAGGGCTACAAGTCATACGCTGTCCGAACAGTCATCTCTGGCTGGTAGGGCTTGTTTACGCTCCCCTTGCGAAGAGACCGGCGACTGACAACTGGGCAGGGACGAGAGCTTCAATTCAATCACGGGTCTCAACGGATCTGGAAAGTCGAACATTCTCGATTCGATATGTTTCGTGCTGGGAATCAACAACTTGAGCGTGGTGCGGGCGCAGAACTTACAGGTGGGTGTAGAGAGGGGAAGGACCATGCGGAGCGAAAGAGCTTACACCGCTGCAGGATCTCATCTACAAGCGCGGCCAAGCAGGCGTTACGAAAGCGAGCGTTACCATCGTGTTCGACAACCGCGACAAATCGAAGAGCCCCGTTGGCTTCGAGGAACATGCGCAGATATCGGTGACAAGGCAGATCGTGCTCGGCGGCGCGAGCAAATACCTCATCAACGGACACCGCGCGCAGCAACAAAGCATACAGAACCTGTTCCAGTCTGTGCAGCTCAACATCAATAACCCCAACTTCATGATCGCACAGGGAAAGGTTATGCAGGTGCTGAACATGAAGGCCAAGGAGATTTTGGCTATGCTTGAGGAGGCTGCTGGAACGCGCATGTTCGAAGACAGGCGGGACAAGGCCTATAAGACCATGGCAAAGAAGGAGATGAAGGTGCAGGAGATCACCGAGCTACTACGAGACGAAATCGACCCCAAGCTCGAGAAACTACGAATGGAGAAGCGTGCTTTCCTCGATTTCCAACAGACGCAGAGCGAGCTCGAACGCCTCACGAAGCTGGTAGTCGCGTACGATTACATACGATACAACGAGCGGTTACAACAGTCTGCCGAAGACCTCGAGGCCAAGAAGCAAAGGGCGAAGGACCTCGACGAATCTTCTGTGCGCATGAAGAAGGAGATAGAGAACCTCCAAGAGGATATTAAACAAACAAAGGCAACACGCGAGCAGGAGTTACGCAAGGGGGGCAAGTTCCAGGCACTGGAGGAAGAGGTCAAGACGAATTCACACGAGATCGTCCGCCTGACGACGGTTCTGGACCTAAAGAGGACGAGCATGGCCGAGGAGGCAGACAGGAAGGAAGGTATTGAGAAGAGTGTCAAGGAGCTGGAGAAGCTTCTACATGAGAAGAAGCAGACGTACGAGAAGTTGCAGGAGAAGTACCAGACAGCCCACGCCGAGCTGGCCAAGCAAACAGAGGAAGTAGAGAAGAAAGAAGAACTTCTACAAACCCTACAAACCGGCGTGGCGTCCAAAGAAGGTCAAGAAGGCGGTTATCAGGGCCAACTGCAAGATGCCAGAAACCGAGCGAGCGCAGCTGCCACCGAGCAAGAGCAGAGCAAGCTCAGAATATCGCATCTCGAAAAGCAGATCAAGGAGGATGAGCCCAAAGCGAAGAAGGCAAAAGAACAAAATTCTGGACTCCTAAAAGACCTCGAGGCATTAAAATCCCAAGCCAAGAAGCTAGAGGCGGATCTGGCGAAGCTGGGCTACAACGAAGGTCAAGAGGCGGACATGTACCAACAAGAATCGCATCTTCAAGCACGTATACGGGAATTCCGACAGCAAGCCGACGGCATGAGGCGACAAGTTGCAAACATCGACTTCAGCTACAGCGACCCCTCCCCGAACTTTGACCGATCTCGTGTAAAGGGTCTTGTCGCCCAACTCTTCACACTCGAGAAGGAACACACCAGGGCAGGTACAGCTTTGGAGATTTGTGCTGGTGGCCGGCTGTACAACGTCGTTGTCGACTCAGCTGCTACTGGTAAGCAGCTTCTCGAGAACGGCAGGCTGAAGAAGCGCGTGACAATCATTCCGCTCAACAAGATCGCGGCATTCAAAGCGTCGGCGGAGAAAATTGGAGCAGCGCAAAAGATTGCACCAGGCAAAGTCGATCTGGCTTTGTCGCTGATTGGATACGAGCACGAGGTCAACGCCGCCATGGAGTACGTTTTCGGATCAACACTTGTCTGTGAGGACGCCGAGACCGCTAAGCGCGTGACTTTTGATCCCGCAGTGCGCATGAAGAGTGTCACTCTACAAGGAGATACTTATGACCCTGCTGGTGTGTTGTCTGGTGGTAGCGCGCCTCAATCTAGTGGAGTTCTCATCACTCTTCAAAAGCTTAACGAGATTACGACAGAGCTTGGTTCGCAAGAGTCCCAGCTCCGGTCTTTGCAGGATACTATGGCTAAGGAGAAGAAGAAGTTGGATGCCGCACGCAAATCGAAGCAAGAGCTCGACCTCAAAAGGCATGAGATCAAGCTCACCGAGGAGCAGATTGGCAGCAACTCCTCGTCATCGGTACGTCAAGCCTGACACTCAGGTCTGAAATTATTGCTAATCCTGTACTAGATCATCCAAGCGGTGGAAGAAATGAAGCAGACCATCGCTCAGCTCAAGGAAGACATCAAGGCGGCGAAATCTCGACAAGAGGAAGCCAACAAAGACGTGAAGCGCATCGAGCGCGATATGAGCGAGTTCAGCAATAACAAGGACAGCAAACTCGCCGAACTACAGTCATCACTTGACAAACTCAAGAAGGCTCTGAACAAAAATAGCGCTTCCATCAAGCCACTGCAGACCGAGATGCGCGAAGCCATGGTCGAATCTGAGCAATGCGGTAGCGACCTTGCGGCAGCACAAGAGCAGCTGGAGGAGGTTCAGACCACCCTGCAATCTCAACAAGCAGAGATGGACGAGTTGTTGGCTGAACAATCTCGTGTCCAGGTAGGTTTTCTCAGCATGATGTTTTTATCAATATTGACATTGCTAGGACGCACACGACTTAGCTGCAGCCCATCTGAGGGACGAGCAAGCGAAATTGACCGGCTTCGATGAAGAGCTTCGTTCGCTCGAAGACGCTATCAGATCAAAGAACTCATCAATCACTGAGGGTGGTCTGGAACAACAGAAGCTCGGCCACGAGATCGAGAGGTTTCACAAAGAACAAGAAGGTGCTGCTAGTCATGTCAAGGCGCTTGAAAAGGAATACGAGTTCATCGCAAATGACGCGGAGCTCTTTGGACGCACCGGAACGGTTTATGACTTCAAGGGCGTGAACATGAACGACGCAAAGATTAGGCGAAAGTCATTGGAAGAACACTTCCAGCAGAAGAAGAACAAAATTAACCCGAAGGTCATGGCTATGATTGACAATGTTGAGAAGAAAGAGGCGAGTCTCAAGAAGAATATGCAGACGGTCATCCGCGATAAATCGAAGATCGAGGAGACTATCGTCAAGCTTGACGAGTATAAGAAAGAGGCGCTCCACAAGACATGGACGATTGTCAACCGCGATTTCGGCCAAATCTTCAACGAACTGCTACCAGGCAGTTTCGCAAAGCTGGATCCTCCCGAGGGCAAGACAATTTCTGATGGTCTGGAAGTCAAAGTTATGCTGGGAAAGGTGTGGAAGCAGTCACTGACAGAGCTAAGTGGTGGCCAAAGGTATGCGCCCGCCCGTACTCCCCCGAAACGCATGCGCTAACATCTCTTAGGTCACTTATCGCACTATCTCTTATCATGGCTCTTCTCCAGTTCAAGCCTGCGCCGATGTACATTCTGGACGAAGTTGATGCTGCGCTGGACCTGTCCCACACACAAAATATCGGTCGTCTGTTCAAAACTCGCTTCAAGGGATCGCAATTCATCGTCGTCAGTTTGAAAGACGGCATGTTCCAGAATGCGAACCGTATATTCCGCACACGGTTTGTTGACGGTACAAGTGTGGTACAAGCCACATCAGGGTCTGGATAGTCGTTGATGTTTTTGTAATGCGTTATGAGGCATGCTTTGGATACCCGGTGCGCATGGGTTGGATTGCAGTTTGGGATGCTATCGGTATAGGCTTGCATATGGTGGTGTTGGCGGAGTCTTGTTTATGAAACTAGTAGCCTAGTTGGGAAGTTGGGTATGCGCATCCCTGGCTCTACTGGCCGCTTCCTCGTTACATGTCTTGTCGTCCATGTCTCCTTCCCGATGCGGGAACTGAAGGTACAGGCTTTCTCTACATCCCAGGACTGAACAGCACCATGTTTCCTACCATCGCGCGTTACCTATTTTTTCTGCGCACACATTTACGACATACCTATTGGCTTCATCGACGAAACCACTGACGGATATATCCTCAGCTGAATGCTTTACCGATCGGGCACGCTTGCGTCCCGTCTGCACTAGCGGCATCTACCGCAGGCCCACCCATGCTGTCGGCGCCATTGATTAGGGCCCTTGCAAGCGATACCTCCGCGCATTCCTCCATCAACACTCCGGAAGTATCAGGGCTATTCGCATCCTCTGCTCACGATCTCGGCAGCGTCTTGGGCCCGAGCTCGCCGACTTCTCTCACTAGACACTACACTTCACTTCAAGAGCATGCCGACCAGATTACTGGCACAGAAACGGCAGGGAAAGATGAAGGACTCACTCCAAGACAAGTGACCAGACGGGAGGGGTTTGCTTGGGGCCAACGACCAAGCCTCGAAGATGAGAGGAGGCATAGTCGTTACCAGATGCCGATGGAACAAGAACGACAAAGTTCACCTCCACCACTAGACGAAATCATTCGCAGAACGACCATCGACGATGCAGATGATCTTCAAAACATCAAGCTTCGTCATATGGATAGCATAGAGTCACACGCTTCTGGGGTCACCTATCCGGCCGCTTCCATTTCTACGTCTGTGGAAACTAGTGATTCTTATGTCCGCGATAACAGAAGATCTTCTATAGCGGCTTTCGCCAAAGGCATCGTACAGCATGTGCCCAACTTGAGAATGCCACGTCCTCAAGAAAGCAAAGAAGATCAGCAGCGACGAGACTCCGGTGATGGAGCTTCCATGAAGCTGCACAAGAAAGATCGTGTGCTATCCTTCGCACCACTTCCGTTTGTCAAGCCGAAAGAGTCATATGAGAAAGGCTCAAAACCATCCGTTGTAATCGAGGAGCCGTCGACGCCCGTGGATACTCCCCCAACAGCAGTGAACAATGCGACTACACCGTTGAACCCCCACTCGACGTCAAAAGGCGGACTCCGAGACCGCAGGAAGGTCAATCTCGATCTCTCCATGCCAGCACAAATGCCAGATCTACCCGCTCGCGGTCGCTTACCCGTCGATATGACGGGCAGCCTCGGTGCCCCACGTCCGAGAAGTCCCAAAACGCCATGGGTCCGGAAAGAGCAGCCACAGTGGGAACCAGCCATGATGACCAAGTCTGCACCGATTCTCGAAGAGGATTACATTCGCGACAACACCTCGGCGCCGAGGAACGACAACTATGGTGGCATAGGCCTTTTACCTGATAACAACACGCTCTTCTCTTCGCAGAGCCCAAAATTTGAACGACCGCCGGCGAGAGTGAGGGATCGGTGTTACATCAGCCGTCCAAAGTCCAAGAGAACGAGAAGTGGCAGAAGTGACAAAAGTGGCACTAGTGCGAGCGATTCAACTCTAGCTCGGACACCGGACAGTAGTTGGACCCCAGCAGAAGAGAGAATATATCAAGAACACCAAGCTCAAACTAGATCAGAGCTGCGAAAAATTGCTAGTGAGTCCAAGGCAAGTCGCTCACGGCGCTGGTATTGGTTGGGTAAAGCCTCTAGTGAGGATGCTCCTTCTTCTCCTAGACCTGTAGAGCCTCTAAGTCGTCGCTTCTCGATCAACCCATTCAGACGGTCAAACAGAATCTCGGACCAGACGGATGCAGAAGTAAGCAAACAACAAGCTCTATCTTCGATTCATCCTAGTCGCGGCAAACATGTACCTCCATCAACGTCCCTCGCACATATACCTGTCCCACCTGCTTTCATCCCACCGGGCGTTCAGCGTGTACCGACTCCGCCCATTTTCGACGCCAACGGTGAAGTGAAGGGCAAGTTGGCAAATTTCTTCTTCGATGCCCAAGGTGGCGGCGCTATGAATGTTCGTACCAAAATCAAACCTAGTCCGGGAGGTTACTGGGACTCTGATGCTTTGCTCATGAGCCTGTCAAGCGACATCGACAACCACGAAGACAACGATGAAGACGAAGGCCCCGAAGGCCCACGTAGCGATTTCGTGCACACACCCGTAGATTTTGAACCAAATGGCAAACCTGGACTTACAGCCATTGTGAGCAATGTCCAAGGAAATAGTTCAAGTTACCTCAGCGTCAAACCACCAGCCAGCCCTTCGCTAGCAGCAACGTCTCCGATGCTGGGCCATGATGGCTGGTACCGTATTCACCAGTCGCATTTCCCTGATACACCAGACGAACGCACTCTCACAGCGCTTGCCCGACAAGAAGAAGAAGAACGCCGTAAGTTTGAATGGCTCGTCCCTGAACATCTTCCCGATAGCCCTTTGTGCCCTCTGCATGCAAAGTATAGGGGGCCGAGTGCCGGCTTGTGTTACTGGCATGGACGTAGGTCCGGTAATAAGATTAGGAAAGGTGAGTATGGCAGGGCGGGAGTGAAAGCTGCTAAGAAGAGTATAAGTGGGGATGGTGGACATAGCAAGGATGACTATCATGCTGGAGACGTAGGGGTTGTCGGGACGCCGGGACTTGCGGGAACGCCGACTAGGGAGGTGAAAAAGAGGAGATTGATAAGTTTGTCCAGTTCTTAACTTATCGAGTCCTTAGTCCGTAGGGCTTAAGGGTGTTGTCTTGATGACCACGATTCTATGAGTAGCGAACCCATCACGCTTGCACAAAGACACGAGTATACATGCCAAAGTATATAAAGTCTACAAATGCAAAACTGTCTACAAAACCGTTGTCGTTGTACTTCGTGAAATACGCCAGTGCGTGAGTCCGTCGATATTGAGACCTGGATACTCCGTGCCCAGACTCTGTTGTAGCCTATGACCTCTCGTATGCCTCGCGAGGCTTCGGTGTCTTACCAGCATCTTTCCACATCTGTTCCCTTTCGCGGAAGATCTGCTGTGCCCATGCTTGGACCTCCTCGCTCTTGATGCGTCCTGCGACCCACTGGAACTCTCCTAGGTCTCGCTCGCAGTTTGATTTGCGCTCGTATTCTACCATTTGAACCAGGAGCTCGATCTTGTCGATGTCGTGTACGAAGAGAGATTCAGGAGTTTTGCTGTCTTCATATTCCTGCCATATCGCCCTAATGTCCTGGCCGTTGAGTCCCCCGTTGAACTTGCCCAGCAGGGTGGTACAGATGTAGTCCATTGTCTCGGCTTCTCTCCTGCTCTTCTCCTCCTTCGAAACTCCGTCTACAGGTGTGATGTCGCCGACAAGCGCCTCAGCCATGTCGTGGATAACAGCCATGCGGCAGCATCTGGCAATGTCCAGTTTCGAGCTCAGAGACGCGGGCGCCATCATGGTGAGGATGCTCATGCGGTACATGTGGTCGGATATAGACTCGCCGTCTCCGATGTGGAAGCGCTGCCATCCTGCGCGTTTGGTAGTCTTTAAGCGCTCGAGGAGGTGGAAGAAGGGGACGGGCGAGTCGGTGTTCTCAGTGTAGCGGAGGTTGTTTGCTGCGAGGACTATAGAGCGCGTTAGTCATGCAATGAAGAAGACAAATGAGGAGTAAGAGAGGTGTCGCATACGGACGAACTATCGCCTGTTCATGACATACCGCTCTCGACTGACCAATCACTCTGCTTTACTTTATTCGCGTCAAGTACGCCGGCGTTGGTGTCGGGCACGCCATTGACCTGGGTTGCCTCGTCCACTGTCATGGTTGCTTGATGTTACAATTAGAGACTGCGAGGACGTGTGTTTATAGAGGCGCAATTATGTGTGCGAGTGACGTATCAACGGTGACTGTTTGGTAAGAGAAGGATGGTGGGACAAACGGGGTTTATCGATTGCTCCCGCCTTGGCAAACAACGCAAGGGTCCGTCACACCGTCACACCGCAACACCACGCATGCAGCTCGAGCCTCAGCATTCTCTACGAGGAACACTGCGCGAATGTATGCACTGCGATCGCAATCATGTCTCGCCCGCCGTCAACCGCCTCTACGGCCACCACGGCCACAGCAAACGGCCATTCGCGTACCTTGTCGGTCAAGTCAATCCCCAAACCCCAAGTCGTGAATCCCATATCTACGCCGGATATTAGACTCTTCGTGACCAACCTGCGATTACTGGATTTCGATTTGCGAGAGGACTGGCCTGGCATCACAGTACAGACTTTCTCTGCCAAGAATGCGGACCAGCGACAGAGGATTGGTGGGACTGAATGGGCCTTGTTTCGCTTGTTCGAGATCTGGGATGCCAATGAGACGGCGCAAGTATGTTGGGACGAAACTGATTACTAACATGTGGTTGACCTGGCTGTAGAAACTCCAACCCTTCTTTCCACCACTCGAACCTCTCCAATCGTTGAACCTCCGCGCTGCGCTATTCCGATGTCTGAACGAATTGAAGAAGAACGGTGTCCTGGGACGAGAGTCTGTGCTCAGAAAGACTATGTTGGACGAGTGCAAGGGCGAGAAGTTCTACGAGATATTGGCCATCTTCTCCAATGCGGTCCTCAAGAAAGTTCTCGTAGCGCGAGATGCAGGCGATGTAGATGCTGCAGTCGCGAGAAGACTGGCGACGGCGACGATGCTCTCGGGCGAACAGCAACGTTCATTACTGCCTCTAGCAATCGCGCATAAGGCGTCCCTAGTCAATGTGCTGAGACGGAAAGAAGAGAAGAGGAAGCAATACATGGAGTTCCATGGCCTTTTGGATAAGAAGGCTGAAGACATAAATCGCCGCATACGCAAGACCAAAGACACCCCCCGCGCACAGAAACCGGCCGTGTCACAGAAAGAAGCCAATGCCGTCAAGAAGCAACTCAAAGACAACTGGATTGGGAACCAGAAGTGGTTAGATGTAATGCTGCGTGGTGACAATGTCCAAGCGGAGGATGCATTCCTTACCAGTCGTTTTGACAAAGTCTGGCACATGGTAGAAAATGGCCGGAAGCTGGACGAGGTCGCGCCTGAGACTGGACTACTTGAAAATCTACAGGCAAGAGTGCATGAGCAACAAGAGAGATTGCAAAAGTGGAAGGCTTTCCATGAAGAGCTACAAAAGGATGAATCCGGCAAGGAGACATCGGGAAGCGGACAGGCAGCCGCGAAAGCAAAGGATTTTATGTTCGATGACCACTCACAGTACCAGCTGCCATCAGCGAAGCATACAATGGAGTCTGCAAAGATAAGGCGACCGGCTATGAGAGCGGAGTTCCAGGACATTTTATCCCACATGGACAGTGAGCTGGCTCGCGCTGCCACAGTCCGGGCTAGTGTCAGACCTTCAATCATACATCATAGAAGTACCTCGTCGGTAAAGACGGCTCGTCCGCCACTACTCACCAGAAAATCCACCCAGACGGAGGCGATACGAAAAGCGCCAATGGTTCCAGCCAAGCCTGTCAAACTACAGTCGCCTTCAAGACCAAACTCTTTGGACCAAATTCCGATCCTGCCTCGACCATCACGACAACTCGCATCGGCTGCAACACCATCCGCAGATTCTGAGGCTACGCTCATCGGCAATACATCGGCATCGAGTGCCACGATTAACTATCGTGATGATTCGCCATCGGAAATTGATCAAGAAAGCACACCAGTATCAGGGACTGCACCCCCAGCTTCCGAGCCAGCCGACGGGACTCGTTCCCCAGAGCCTACCATTACTGATCACTCTGAGCAAAGAGCAGAATCACCAGATGATCTGTCTAAAGTCTTACCAGAACGTACCTCTGAACCGCCAATCCCAACCTTTGACCCACCAGAAGTAGATGCCGAAGAGGCACTTGCGGACCAGATCATCAACTCTATCGGTAATGCAACCCCATCTCCAGTAAAGAAACCCCAACCACGCATGTCCCTCTCGCTCATTGAACGTACACGCATGACAATGGCGCGAAGTCAATCTTATGAGTCTGTTCCAGAGTCACCAGATCTGCCGCTTCCGTCTATGGGCCCTCCTGCGATCCCCTCCATCACGGGAGATGAAGATGGCGACCGACGTGCAACACTGGCAGAGCGCACCCGACAAACTATGGAGGCTATGCAATCGAGATCCCGCCCCTCCGAGGTGGACACGACAAAGAAAGAGAAACGCCAGTCCAGCCGCTCATCCCTGTTCCCTGTCAACCAGTTCGATACGCCACGGACTCGTAAATCTTTCGAAAGCTTGGAGCAGGCCAAGTCGGAAAGTATTGAGCGTACGCCAACAGAGCAGTTGTTTAGCGACGAGATAGACTATGACAGGGTGTTCAAATCTAGACCGAGGATTGCTACGAGTCCGGTTTGGAGTCCAGATGGTGCTGCTGGTGGCCAAGAGGAGTTTGATGATGAGGATCCGGATGGTGTCACTGGCATTGATCTGGGAGATGTGGATCAAGATGATGATGGAGAAGAACAATTCAAGGAGACTTGGATGGACAGCCCTAGTCATAAGAGGGGGATGAGGAGTATGAAGTATTAGTTACGGAGAACTGCACCCAACTATGACACATTGTCGCTCATTGTAATGTGGACTATCTTTGATCATGCTCATTATCCTACCATGGTTTTATCCCCAAATCATCTCTTCGGCTGCCAGTTCTGCAGAACAGTGCTGCAGATTCCTCGACTGCCTCTTCGCATTCACAGCCATTCTTTCACACCTATATAGGTGCTCTGCTCGCCACGTTTCTTCACATCGTCCGTCGTCTCGGTTCGTGTCATATTCTGGATGGGATCAAAGCATTTGGTCTGAACTGTAGTGTTACATGCTGGATAAAGTTCGCGTGTCTTCATATCGCAGAATATCTGCTCATATTCGGAGAAGAAGTCGGGTCCAACACTGCCAGTGCTTTGGCAGACTTCCACAGCACTTTGCGTCACATCATGGCTCTTAACTAGTACTCCCTCGAACTTCATTTGGAGTGGGTGATCAGGAGAGGGAAAACCGTTTGTGGAAGCCAGGGATAAGGCTGAGGTGCGTCGGACCTTCGATCTGGAAGCACCGGACGATGGCCGGTATGACGAAGACGATCGCGATCCGAGAAGCGAGCGACTTTTCGATGGGCCATCTGGACATTTGTCCGAGAGACTCTCTTTGCAGCCTAGAGTACAATCAACGAAGTTAGCAAATGTGTCACACGATGTTCGTATACAGAAGTTTACTTACGTTGATACCATGAATCGTCAGTAGTACACCTCTGGTCGTACATCCTGATGATATCATATCGCTCCTGGTATGTAAAACGATCGTCTTCGCAAATTCCGGGGTCTGTCGTGCTATCTTTCGCAGCCGGAGTGCATGCCGATATCGTATCCAAGGGGAGATTCTTGCCATACGGCGGCGCTGGGCTGAAGATCTCTGGACACATTGTAGTATCCAGCTTATCGTAGGAACCAAAGCGAGCCAGTGAGTCGCACATGTGTGAAGGATCCTCTTGCCATCCTTTGAAAGTACTGTTGTCGAGCTTGAAATCGGGGAGGTGGACTTGGAAGCCCTCACAATGTGTCGCTTTCTCTCCGTCATCGTCTGGTTTGTCGATCCAAAGGCATTTTGGTCGTGCGTCTTTCGTCGTGCCGGATTCTGATCGGAACTGTACTGACGTTGCGGATTCGGACCAGTAGTAATTGTATTCTGGCTTGTGATTG